AATGTTGATTTGGAAAAGAAATGGAAAATTTTAATGACTGATACTACTCCTGAATTTCCTGATCTACTATTTATGGGAAGTGATTTTCCACTTAAGCTTGCTAAAAAAACTAAAAACCAATTTTGGAAAGATTGTTTTACTGCCTTTTCTAAATATAGCAATAAAATAAAACCCAATAATTATGAAGAGTTCCTAAGGGAACCTCTGCTATACAATAAAAACATTATTATAAATGGCAAATCATTAGATAACAAAACCTTTCATCTCAATAATATACACAGCATACATTGCTTGCTAAACAATGATGGAAATTTTATGACATTGCAACAATTCTGTAATAAATACTTCAATATAAATTTTCTTGAATTTTATGGTATTACAAGATCAGTAAATACATACATGATACAATTAGGTTTTAATAAAGACCTGCATCTGGAAACAACAAACAATACAAATATATCTATTGCCAATCTCTTTTCATGTAAAAAAGGCTCAAAGAAATATTACTATGTAATAAGTCAAACCGATGAAAGCTTAAAAGTTATTGACAAGTGGGAAGAGGAACTTTTAATGGATATGAACTGGCCTAGCTTATTTATCAGAGCACACAAAACTACTCCAGACCCGAAACTTAGATGGTTTCAGCTTAGATTGCTCCATAGAATTCTACCTGTTAATACTTATCTACTCAAGATGCATATTGTTGACAACTGTCTATGTACTTTCTGTAATGCCGAGCCAGAATCTATCCAACATCTGTTTTGGGACTGTAGGGTAAGCAAAAATTTCTGGAAAAGATTTTCACAATGGATTGAATCCAAGTGTCCACATACTGGCAAGATAAATCTTACTTCAGACCTAATTCTTTTTGGCTTTTCAAAACATTTCCACACTGATGATATTTTTGATCTGATACTCTTATTGGCCAAATTTCACATTTATAGATGCAAAATGAAAAATAACCAACCAACCATTACACATTTCCAAAATGAGGTTAAATATTATTACCAACTAGAAAAATATAGACACTTTAATAAAGCCAAACAGACTGAATTCTATACGAAATGGGCTCCTTATGAAAACCTTTTGAAAATATAAACATTTGCTATTCCAAAACTTTACTAAATATATATCCTGCATCCTGTCTTCATAAGTACTAAAGCTTCTAGTGAGTGTGAATGTGTGTATGGATGTGTGCGAATGATAAGTACTTTCTGAAAAAACCCTGGTCATGTATTTTGACTCTCATCCAAACATGATGTACTTTTACCGGGAACAATAAAAAAAAAAAAAAAAAAAAAAAAAAAAAAAAAAAAAAAGATTCATATTGCCCCCAGTTGACAACTCTATTCGACGAGGCCAGTTCTGGAGCCTTAAACAGACTACAAGCCTTGATGAGGGGATACAAGAAACTGCAGGCAACTTCTTCCAGGAAACGCCTTCCTATCACCTATCCTTTATTAAGTAAGATCGTGTACCAACTCTGTGCAGGTATTTTCGGACCTTATGATGACTTTGTGATGGAATGCATGTGTGTGACAGCCTTCTTTGGCTTTCTTCAATGTGGAGAATTCACCTGCTCTACTAAGTTTGATCACCGAGTTCATATTAGTATGAGAGACATTGAATTTGATCATTATAAGAGAAAATGTGTCCTAATGCTGAAAGCTTCTAAGACCGATCCCTTCCAGAAAGGAGTACCCATTTCCCTGTTTGGCTACAGTACTGGTATTTGTCCATATACTTGCTTGAAGAGACTTCATCACATAAACACACAGTGCAGAGCCAAGCCTTCAGATCCATTGTTTGTCAAATGCAACCTTGCACCGATCAGCAGAGCTTCTTTCTTGTACTGGCTGAGCATAGACTTAGCTAGGACAGGTCTTGATTCCAAAGAGTACTCTGGACATTCTTTCAGAATTGGTGCACCTACTACGGCTGCCAGTGCGTGCATCAAAGACCACCTCATCAAGACGATGGGCCGTTGGAGTTCAGATTGTTTTACTCGATATATACGGACTCCGGAAGCCACTCTGAGCCAAGCCCAGAGATCTTTGTGTAGAATGTAGACTTGTCGTTACTACGGACTCTTGTGTTACTGTGTTACTTTATGCAATCTGTTGATAGCCTACTGTCCCTTACAGTATAGGAGTCAGCATTCCAATAATTATAAGGACTATGTGTCACGCCTTTATGTTTGTGTACCATGGTGACTATCTTGTGTTTATACTTTGACTGTAGTCTACTTAATGCTGGACATTATGATTATAACGCTGTGATGATCATGTGCGGGCTTGGGCCCATATCCCTCGTACAGACTTACAGGACTGTGTACGTTGAGACCCTTCATCACACCTTGGACTGTGCTAGACTTACCCTGGTGTGTTTAGACCCATTTGGTCATTTTTTCTCTCGATCATCAGCGTATAACTGTGGATTACATTCATGGGACTCCCTAAATTCTTCTTTTATTTGTGTTTGAACATGTGTTCTTCCTACTTATTCTTTGTCCATTCCATGTGTAGATTTTAATTTTCTCCAACTCCATCCTTTGGGGGCTCTCAGTTGCACACAACCTCATTTGGGCTTTCCATGCCCTGCATACTGTATAGGAATGGCTTGTGGCGCCCAAAGTACGTTTCTTCCAAATTTACAGTCCAGGGCCGGCACGGTCTCAGGACTTGTTCATTACCCGCAGGGTAACTAGCATTCATTCAATCAGGTCGGCACAACCCTCATCTCTTCATTCATACCCACAGGGTTTTTCATTCATACCCACAGGGTATGTTTTTACACTGGTGGATGTGGTGTGGTAGGTTTCATACTCTTGATATGTGAAACACCTGCACCGGTGGATGCGGTGTGGTGGTCGAGCTTCCGAAAAAGGCCTAGGCAGGGAATCTGGGGTGATGAGTGATCTTCACACGAAAGCTGGTCTAGATAGAATGAAATGTTAGAGAGATACGAGAGACACTCCCTTGTCCTGCTACTGTTAATTTCTACTCAGTTTAGGGGCACTATATTCCACATCAGTGCACAGTATTCTGGAAGTTTACATATCACACTAGCATCTAAATTTAGTAATGTCCTTAAAGCTGCTTACATTAAACAGTACAACATTCCTGACAAATAATCACTGTCCAAATACAATGCAATGAGCGTCTACCGAATCCCAAGAGAAACAATGTAACATAGTTACAATAAAATACACTGCCATGTAACAATATTATAATCTATCGAAATCTGCAAAGTTGTATTTTCCCATGAAACTTGCACTTTCAGGCATCAATATATAGATCTATAATGTAAATCTTGTTCTTCAGCTGATGTTGGGAGTTGAGATCAGAGGTATTCGTGAGCCCTGCTCACTTTTTGCCTTGTTTTTATGGTTGACTAGATCCTGTGCAGGATGTGAACAGATTATCTTGAGGGATGAGGATAGTGGCTTTCGAGTGGTCTGTCCACCCAGGGGTATTTTGATGGATTACATCAGTGAGACACATCTCATCTGAACTTGCCACTCAAGAACAGGGGCCCGGTGCATTTAAGCCGGTACCAGATCCCTAAACTGTTCAGTGCTTCAGCGGCAGTTGCTGGATCATGGAGAACATCCTTGTCTGCCTTCTATGACAACAGGTAGAAGTTCTGTCAGAGGCGCATTAGATGGGGAGTGGTGTGGGATCTGTACTTACTCCTTTTAAAGATACAGTTATGCTCTAACATTGGTCCTACAGCACGACAGGCTGTCTATTGGAGATGACCCTGTCCTTAAACGGATCATCAGACATTTCTGCTGGAATTTCCCAAATGGAGCTATTTGGTTGTTCTCTCCATTGAGGACATCACAGTTTGGGAATTGGATGCAGATATAACAGTAATTCTATGGCAATTTACCACATATTTGCAAAAGTCTTTGGCATCATTCTGGAAACAGCCAAATATTAGTCAACACAACCAGAATAGTTTGTTTGGAATGATTAGGTACTCCAGAAATATTGGATTTAACAGAAAAAGGCACAATTTTGGTGGGAATCAGAGTTTGGGGTTAAATTTTCTCTTTAGATTCAGTAGACTAATAACCATCCAGGGTATTACTAGATGTCAGAACCCACCAATCCTTTGGGTATAGTCTGTCACTGATGTGATAGAGGTTTTGTATATCATACAATAGTTAACATTGTTATGATTTAAAGAATACTACCTCTTTTACGACAGGAGTAATCCCACCCAGTCCACAATAATATGCATCTAGGATGCTGATGTTAGAAAGAAGTGAAGACTGGTTATGGATAGTTGACAGTGAAAAGGACTTCTGATTTATTACAATAAATTTTGTGTGGTGACAGCTGAAATATGGAACTTCTATAAATTCTTAACAATGACTGTTCTTTGACATTTCTTCAAGTTGGCTACAGAGGCTTGTGGTTAATTCTTAATTGAATCACAAGAATCTGTTGACTGACCTTCATGACGTGCATCTATGTTATGAGTGAATGAGTGAGTGAGTGAGATGGGTTTAACTCTGCTTTTAACAGTATTCCAGTTACAATATGGCTTAATATGGGAAGCAAGCCCAAAATGATGCATGTCTCAGATGTTTATACCACTTTGGTGAAACCCAGGGGCATGTATATGGTGCTGAAAAACTTACAAACATAATCAAAGCCACAATCACAGGTTTCAGGCATGCCCAGGGGACGCAACTTGGCACATCGATTGCTGCACCTTAGACGACTGCGCCACCTGTGCCCACCCTTTGAGTGTCACTGAACGAAATGTACCTGTGATGACAAATGCTGTCATATATAAAATAAACTAAGGGTAGTTTTACTGTCATCTGCAGTCATTTGTTATTATTATTCAGTTTAGTGTAAGACACTCTGAACTTTATAAGTTGGCTCCCCTGGGCTCCAGTTGGCCGGCTTAAATTTAATTTTTTTTAATTAAACAATGAACAAATATGATACCACATGTAATTGAAGGGCATCCTTTTTTGACAGGAGCTTGCAGAACCTAGTAAGCAACTTTTAGAAGACACAACAAAAAGGCATGAAGAACCACAGAAAGACACTGACAATGATGGATTTGATCCAGAGAAGTAAGTTTCATAGTCACTGCTTGCCGCTGCATATTCATTACATTGTATAAGCACCACTAAGAACAGAAGACAAATTATGTAAAATAATAGCTTTTTCTTTTTCTGCATCATTGTGCTCACATGATTAGTTTGTGAATGTTAGTTAACTGAGTATTGTTTTGGGTTTATTGTCTTTCTGTTCTGTCAGCTTGATGTTTGTCAGTCATTTATCAGCCATTCTTAAGGAAACCAGTTGCCTAACATGAATTTTTGCATCAAAATTTGCATGTATCCAATTTTTATAAAACAATATGCAGGTGTGGTGTTGATAGTGTCATGATCACCAAATTGTTTACTTCCTTGGCAATCATTAATGGTTGTTGTTGTTGTTGTTGCACTGTGTTTGTTTCTGTGGCAAGTGTAAGTGGTGAAGAATCTCGCTCCCAAGAGGATGACAGTGTGGAGGATGATGAAGATGAAGAAGACAGTGTTAAAAGAAATGAGAGCCCCCTGCACTTTAACCCTACACATGGTCCCTCGTGCGAGGTTGATAGGTAACTCTGTCTGTGTGTATGGTCTAACTCTGTTTGTTGGCAGTACATGGAATATATATATGCTTACAAGTTTCTATGTAACATTACGACATCCTGTAGTTATAATGAACACTGATATAACATACAATTGGTCTGTAATGAACTATTTCAAAAGATTTCTATGTATTATCATGTACACTTCACATAAATAACAAATTATCTTTAACAAATTGATGGTTGTACAGTGCACTGATATTCTTGTCCCTAACAGACCTGAATATCAGTATTTTCATATGTGAGTTTTGAGCTGGTCAAACAGTCAGTGTCAAAAGAGTCATCATCAGCGATAAATCAAACAATGGAAATTTAGTCTTTTATAGGTATTTAGAAGTTGGGAGAACATGAATACATGACACTTTTTATGGACAGCAACTTTTTATACTTTGCACAATGTTTCTCCTTCATCAGGTGAATGCCGAGTAAGTGCATAGAGTACTACCGGTATATATAGGATAGGATTAATGTGCAAAGATAAAAATATAATGTCAAAGCTAATGAGATTAACAGGAGAGGAGTACTTAAGTACACTGAAGGTGTACTGGTGATAAGGATCTGACTATTGTCACACAAGCAATAAGGTAATCAAGATGTCCATTGTGGTAGATGATGTGATTGTATAGCACAGTGGAGTACACACTGGGTAGGTTGATACCCTGGTCTCTGTTCATTGCTGGCTTCTTTCTTTTGATTTCTATTCTTTCTTGAAGTTTCCTCTTTTTTTTGATGCTCAATGTATATTGAGTGAGTTTATAATGATAAGTTAAACTGCTATGTTGTCATTAGCATACGTGCATATTTACATGTTGGATTAATTCCAGCATCATTTGGTACCAGCACATCAGTAATCGTGTGTTGTTTCATTATTATGTTAACATGAGTTCAACAGTATTAGCCAGAATGCAATCTTATTTCAGCTTCTTAGCGGGTAAGTGTAACACTAACCACCCAGTTATGTATTAATATTATTACGAGTATCTATAGTAAGTCAAACTGTCAGTAATACATCCTGAGTGATTCTATTTATAGTAACTTAGATAAGGCAACTTCCCAGAATGCCAAGGTACGAGCATGCGCAGCAGCGCTTTAATGTCAGCCATCTTGTACATGTTTTGTAAACAATGACAAGCAATTTTGCTCCCATACGGATGAGCAAATAGTAAGAACCAAGTGTCAAGTTTCAAGCAGGATATCCAGCCTGGATAATACGCATAGTTGAGTGGCAAGTACGTGCGAGAATCCAGAAATTTTGGTAACAACACACATGGCCGCACCAGACATGAGGGTGCCTCGGCTAAGATACTGGTATCTACCCTCTAAGTACAGTTGATAGTTGCCCGTATGCTGTATTTCCACGCAGTTGGGCTATGGAAAGAATCTGTGCGTAAATTGGAGAAGTGTAGGGAATTAAGCCTCCCGTGGAGTTAACACAAGCGTCATATCAAACATTTTACACAGACAACCTCACAGGCCGTAGTGGAAGGATGGCTACACAGGTCATCATTGTCGGATGTGATTACAGCTAGAGATGGCACTTCAGTAGTTCAAGAGTCTACTGTACAATCTACCACGAACGAGTCACACAGTGATGCAACACTTGCCCAGCTAGTGGATACTGTGGATAATTTACAGCGTACTGTGGCCATGCTGAGTTTGCAAATAGATGCCAGGAATCAGCCTGCTACGGTGCCACACACTTCCCTTTTGCAGAGGAATTGAGCTGTGCCTGGTCAACCACATGACAATTTGCTACCAGCCCATATGATGTCAGAGCCATTCAGCTTGTATACTGCCTTACGGGAATTGGACAACCCAGTCACAGGATTAGTTATCCCTGGTGTGTCCTTCAGTGAGCCTCAGCATTTACCGGATATAGGTCTTGTTACTCCCACTCTAAGGAGGAGCATTCAGGAAGGTAAGGATGTGAACCTGGCTTTGCTACTCATTGCTGATGAAATAACTACCAATGCAAGAACCATTTAGGTAGATATTGTGAATGTGCAGCTGAAAAGTCCTCATGACTCCAGATTGCAGATAACCCTTTACATTTGACATGTTCATCACAGTGTTTGGGAAGTATAAAGCCATCATGTGTCTACGCTGGCCACCAAGACGAGCTTATGATGATTATATGTAGTTGATATGCACAACCAATATCAGAATCAACTTTTTTTACCTGTATCACAAATGTTTCTTGGCTAAAGCTGCAGCCTGTCTTGGACACAATAACCACAAACTTCCATGGGGAGAGATTGATGATGCCATTAATAGAGCCGTGTTTACTGGACGTAGAATCAATGCTTGCCAGTTGTGTGATGACATTGGTTATTTGACCCAGTTTTGTCAATGGTAGATGCCAAGTCCATCCATCATCAGTTGGCAGAGACTTTTAACCATACTTCCACGACTAGAGACAGAGAATTCACTTCAGAACGCAGAGGCATTGACTGCCGGGGAAGGAAAGTTCTTATACACAAAGGTATCCCATTGTGCAACAATTTCAATGCTGAGAAATGTGTTCATGAGAATTGTAGATTTAGACATTTGTGCTCCATATGTCGGAAGCGCATCCTGCTTTCGAATGTTGGCATAACACAGTCGAGATTCAATCCCCAGCAGGCAAATCGACACCTGTCAAGAACTCTTCATCTGCCAAAAAGCACCGACAATGACTGCATGAGTAGTATAGGTAATGAGGATTCTTTCTCTTTTCCACTGGAGTCAGATTTATATACCTATACCGCTACTACAGAGGGAATTTTTTATGCAAAAATGATGATGCAATTCAATGATCGTCATAACATTAAACTAAATTGTAATGAAAATATTCTCTATTATTTTTACTCATACGTATACCGTATATCGCTGTGTATAAGGCGAGTTTTTCGTACCTAAAATGAGGGGGTTAAGAAGGGGGGTCGTCTTATACACAGAGTCGAAGATCTCACATTTTTTTCCACTGGCGATGTCAACCGGCGTCCGATAGCCAGCTCAGCATTTGACAATAAAACTTCGCATTTCGTCCTAAATAACTGTTCCAATAACTATTTCCATACATAAACATGATTTGTATCTCTTTTCCTTGAATAAAGTTTAATAATTTCTGCAAATAAAGTTGAAATGACCCTCGCCTCGATGCAGATTGTAAAAACAGCTGACACGGTAAAACAATTAACATCCATGAGTAGAGAGCCGGAAGTACCGATAGACATTTGCATATTGCACATGTGACCTAAAATGTGATAACCGGTGAAGCTGAAATCAATTCCCGCTGTTTTTACAGTTGTATTAACAACTGTTGGAGACAGTGTGTATAAGTGATTGTGGAATAAACACGCTGAATGTGAAGCAAACATAAGCCTTGTTACAAGATAGTTGATTGGCGATTAAATTATTCACCATTGTCTCTTATATGTTATTACTTCATAAATGAATTTTATTTTACGGGCACGAATTTGGTGTCGTACCGTGTAAACACAAAATGGCAACATGTGCTGGAGTTACACACGCAACCAATCACCATAGAAAAAACAACGCAAGATAAACATATATTTATTCCATATATAAGGTTTGTGCGCGCACTTGTGATGTGCTTCATTCCAGGTTGCCTTATACACGGAGTATAGGATTTTGGGTTGATTTTGAAGGCGTGTACAGGGGGGTCGTCTTATACGTTGGGTCGCCTTATACACAGCGATATACGGTACCATTATTTTTAGTTCTTCGTTCATTTTACTAGGAGACCAGACTATATCTTCCTGGTAATTGGAAAAAAACAATTGATGACCGTATTTGGTTGGTTTGACATCACTGATATAATATATACCTTGTGGTAATTCTCTCCATTTGATAATTTTGTCCCTGAGCATAAATGCTTTGATAGCTTTTTCGAGATGTTCCTTTGTTGGTTTGTAATTCTCCATAATTATATATTTATGTAAGCATTCGTTTAAATGTGATCCAACGATAGGAAGCAATCTATTTTTAATCTCCAACCAGTTCTTTGGTTTTGGCACGGAATAATTGATGCGCTTGTTGTCTCCCCTGTTCTATGAAATTTTTTTTCTCGTCTTCGCTAATACCACTGGTCTTACGAGAATTTGATCGAATCTCCTGCTTCATTATGTTGTATTTGGTGAGTTCTGACAGCACTAAATGAAACTCCTCCTCGGATATCTTACAATCAGCCATTGCTGTTGAAATATGGTCCTCAATGCTGTTCAACTTTGCTTAGGCGAGTATCCGAATATTATCATGTTTTAATGCTTTCTTCTGCAACTTACGAGAGATAATGAATTTTATCGCTATTACTACCAGTCCTGAGACTCCAGACGCTATTTCCATGCCAAGTACGATAGGCGCGGCAATTAAAGTTGATAATAAACCAACACCGGCTACACCGAGTCCCATTCTAGCTGTTACAAGCGCGGTGTCAACTCCGTCGAGAGCATTCCCAGCTCTGCAATACTTTTTATACAATCCAAGTCTCATCTCCCTCTCCTTCTCTATTCAATGTTTTATGACGTTTATTTGATGTAATCGAAATCCATCAACAGTATCCATCTTTTCAGACGCTTAAATTCATTGAGCGCTGGATATAAACACATAGTGTATATTATTATATCATGTAATAGTCTTTAATTGGTCTTGCTTCAATGTTTTGAGAGTATACATCAACCTTATTGAATGTATATTATACGGCATAAATATCTTAGTAAGATAAATGCTATCACTTTTAATAATTTGGACCCCTTTAAGGGTTGCAACGTGTGATGCTCCCATATAAATAATACTGCAACGTTGACGTTTGTGTTTCTCGAGCCATTTACTCAAGGGACCTGGTAATATTTCTATGGCATCTACCGGTGCATCTCCAAACAAGACTTCAATTATAAGCGTAGAAAGATCGGGTATTGCACTCAAGTTATCTTTAATATCATTGAATTCAGTAACCAAATTTAAAC